ATCGTAACACTTACAAAATCATATGTCATCAGGGACACACAAAAAATGGACCCCTGATTTCTAGAATTAGCCATTACACAAGTGCGATACCCTACAACCCCGCACAAAAAACCAGCTCCGCAGATTGAAGGGACATTCACAAATTACGGAAGTAGGTACATCCTTCAGAAGCTTCCAAAACTTAATTCAAATTTGTCTGAAAATATTAAGAGTCGCAACCCAAAAGGGGGTCCAACATGGACACTGGAAAAGAGACCTTTGTATAACTCACCCAACAGAAATTGCCAGCTGTACATGTCATGATCGTGGCAGAGGTTGGGTCAAACGGGTCCCCACAGCCGGCTGACGCAGCGCAAGAATAGCAGTCTAGAGCCGCACACCACCCTGTACGAATATATCAATGCACACCCTGTGCTCATAATAGGCGTTCTTCCACAGTCATGGGTGTAGCCCAACTACTCTGTAAAAACTCTGGTGTTTAAATCAATACTTTTTAGTGTCACCAGAGGGTGTTAATTCAACACCGCTGTTACTTTGAACACCTATAAGTGTGACAATGCACTGGAGGGTGTTAAATGTAACACCAAATATCACCAAAATTTTTAACACCGGTAGCAAGTGTTGTTGTTAGTGTTGTTGGTGCAATCGAAGCAAATGGGGAGCTTAGGCAAAGATGGTTTGTAAATGCAAAATGAGGAATTCGAAAATAGGTCATCATGCCCAGTTTGGTAGCAACGTAGAACTTTGATCATTATTAACATTATTTTTAAACCTTTATGGAATGTAACCAAAAGTAGATCAGGGATCACCGATGCACATTTCATCAATAAAGCCTGATTTCCATATTGTTTGCAACGCAGACACGAACGGAAGAGACGGGTGCATGACATTATTCCACCAAAAAATTGAAATAAAATGGCCTCCGAAACTCCTGGAGTCCGTGATTTTTTTGGCAGAAAATACCATTTCAGGTTGACTGTACCGCCTCATGATGCCAAATTGTATTCCAGTTTAGCCCAATTCATTTATGGCCAGCTATTTAGTTGATCATAAGGTCGTAATAATTAAGCATTAAGGAGAAAATGGGCCAAATTCGTGGAACTAAGCGAGAGGGACACTGTTGTATACGCCGGCCATGCCAACATGCGTGTTTGTATGGAGATACCACGGCTACTTAACGCAAGTTGAACCTGACTCAACGTTGCCGCGAGAGCCTTTCGCATTTCAGTTATGTACTTTGCATGAATTTGTGCTTAACAGTTTTGGGTCTGCCAGAAATCTAATGTAGCTCATGATGGGACAATGTTTGCTTTTATTGCCTCAAATAACAATATCCCCTCAAAAGTAATGATTTTGTCCCCTCGAAATAACCATTGCGTCATTTCATTTCATTTAATCTTATTTCGTTCCCTCAAAAAATCATTTTGTCACCCTCGAGATGATGATTGCGTTCCTTCGTTCCTTCGTTCCTTCGAAATAATTATTTTGTTGACATGAAACGGCAAGGAAGCTGCGTTTGAGATGAAAATGGCCTTCGATCCATTTATGTCATCACGTCACGAAACCAATACCGACCATGTGAGAATACTTCAGTGGTACTCAATTCATTTCAACTGGCAAAGACGTTAATTGTTATTGTCTACACCCCTAAACAAAGAAAGTCAATGTAAAATCCACCACGTCCGCTTTCGGGGGGGAGGGACAGGGGTCAGTTTCTATGAACAACTTGCACCAACTGATACTGGCAGTCGGATATCCCCACTAACTACATATGTCTGAAACTCATATATTTCAAAACATTAGATATCAATATTATATTTTTGTGACTACCCGTTTGTCATTCGTCAGGATGCAATGCAGCAGTGATACCTCCAGGATAATCAAACGTTCAGATTTTCATAATGCAGATAACGTTGTGTCCCGAAACTCTCCACATTTTGCATGAAAAGCAAGAACCAAATTTGACTATTGGTTTGCCAAGAGACGATACGCAAAAGTGTCTTACCAATTCTCTGTGCTACTCTGTTGCCAATAATCACCCAAACAAAATCAGCTGATCCGTTGTTGGCAACGCAAAATTACCCTTTCTTCTAAAATACACAGAAACTAGTGTTTGCCATTGGAGACGGAGATCTGGGGAAGGGGGTCACCCCCGCCTGCTCTGAAAAGAAAACAATTGGGAAAATGATGTCTTTGGCTTACCAAATACCGCACAGATGACAAACAGAAAGTACACAGTAGCGGTCCTCATGATTTTGGCAGAAGTAGTTAATTCCACCCAAAGTATCTTGGCAGGTAAATCCTAATTTGTCTTTCAGATCTATCTGCTGTAAAAACCAATGTTTCAGCGTCCTTGCCGTTTAAAACATATGGAATATGGAATCCTGCTCGTGTGACTGAGTTTTGTGGTTAGCTGCTCCAGCTTAACATAGGAAGGTGTCACTATTTGCAGAGGGGACCTGAATTCTGTGAGACCCATTTGAAGTTTTCCTCCAACGAAAGAAAATGAGCCTCGCAACACCCAACGTTGCATAAAGTATTTCACAAACGACCTCAAGGAATAAGAAAAGATCTGTCTGTCGTATATGAAAGTAATGCCTTTATTTGAACATTTCACCTTGTAAGAACTCCCTTTTGGGGTTGCCCATTTTGAAAATGTAGGGAGAAAGTCAAGTCAATACATATATTTTGGTTGTGATTATTTTCTTCGTTCAGCTTCCTCTTTGGCCTTTCCGCAGATTACGCAGATTCTTTGTGCATATTTTTCCCCTTTATACCGTTTAAGTCCCTTTGCAAGTTTGGAACTTCATAAAAATTTATTAGAGCAAAGACCTCACACCATGAATGGCTCTAGGAGCATCATGTCATGATGATGTCATAAAGTGTCAAAATAACAGGAAAAAAATTCATTTCGTTTATTGATCCAAAAATCTATATATTAAGCCCGTGTTGGGCTTATCTTATTTTAGATATACAGTCGGATGATAAATTGGGGAAAAAACAGGAACATTTGTCCGTGGATTGCGCATCTAGTGCAAGTAACGTTACAACCTGCTGACCCATGCAGTCCTGCATTCCTTGCGTTGTGAGAACTTTAAACCTCCATCGTTTGGAACTCGCTGGTAAAGTCATTTACAGCTAAACCGAATCAGCACTCGGTCCGGTGGCGGTGAATAATCAAGAAAGAAACCGAAACTTTTGGATGTAAATTTTCTCTTCAAAAACAGGAGAACTATACGGGTATCTTTCTGACCGATACTTAGTCAGTTCTGAAACTGGCATCCTTTTTGAAATAGGACAATACAATGGTTCTTTTGGCAATGTGTCAAGGGACCTGAACTTGTATTTTCTTATAGTGCTCAGCTCAGGCATTCAACATCTTACAACTTTAATCCTCTTACAACTTCAACCCCCCCCTTCCCCAAGACCATGATTGCAGAATTGTAAGTTCTTAAGCTTAAGAGTAACACTTTCAATATGCATTCCTCACCCCGTCCCATTTTTCTCCAAGGTGTCATCCACAGAGTCCTCCTTCCTATGTCTAATAATATGTGGTTAGGCTTCTTGCACACTTCCGTCACTCTATTCATTGTGCCGAGTTGCGCAGCAGCACACAACTTCAGATCAGGCCCTCCATGATTGAGGTGCTCTGATAGGGATGACTCATCCGCTATCGGTGACAACAAAATAGATTATAGGGAATAATTGTGCATGTGAACGGCACGTGGCCGTCAAGGGACCCACAATTTGATTGTAGATCGGCTCTCTTGATATTCGGTTTGTTTTCGGATCAGATGTGAGAAATTCCCGCAAATAATTGTGCCAACGATTACACGCAGTGGTGGCATGACAATGACCGCCTACCAAAAAAAAAGTAACCAAAAAACCCAAGAACTGGAACGTATACACACCACCAGTGAGATAATCGTGATAAACGGCACGCTAACGCAACGCTTTTCTTCAATTGTTGTGTATACTATTTATTTCAAATTTTTTTTTAGAAATTTTGGGTCGAGCGAAAGGACTAGGGAGACCATAGTCACACTGCACGGCTTTCCGTGGCTTCGGTTTGATAGTTCAAATCCCGAAATGGAGTAAGTAGGGATCGCTTTTGGTAACAAATAGAAGTGGCAATTCTGAAAGTAAAATTGACTGCAATAGACATCTCGTATGACCAATTTAACTCAGCTAAGTTCTGTTGTAGGGTGCACTTAAGATGCTCTTGTTTTCGTGAAAGCTTGATTTTGAAGTAAAAATGGAAAAGAAAAGAACGAAAAGACGTTGTATCTTGTGTGAGTTTCAGACGCGCCATTCGTCGTGAACTGTGCGTCTGTGTGTATTGTCTTACATGAAGGCCTGTCAGTGGACATCTCCAATAGTTTTAAAATCACTCTGACCCCTCTCCTGCACACAAACATATTATATAGGCAGGAGAAAAGTTCTGCAATACGGGCGATTCACAATAGCGCGCCTCCAAGAGTTTGCAAGGTGTTGGCAAATCACAATGCGCGAACTCTGTCAACCCTTTCCAAACGCGAATCGGATTGTCAGATTTCGCGCATTGTGATTGGCCAACGCATTGGAGGCGCCCTATTGTGAAAAGCCCCTATTGCGATACCACATTAACTCGAATGCTGATTCAACTGTATGTTTCTCTTTAAACTCAATCATGTTTTCTATGCCTGGGCACCCTGACAGGTTGACCTTGAAACCTTGAACCAACTCCATATCTGAAGATCAAGTTGCGGGCTTCCATTTCCCCTGTATCGCTATAATCTATAAAACTTATCAAAAATGTTGATCTTTGGCTGTGCTTCGTGATGAAAGGTTGTGTGGCGGCTGCATGAGGCATCTTTACACGTTGTCGGCTCGACCATATTGTATTCTCAATTCAGTCTCATGGCTGCAAATATCGATGATCAATTTCCCATCTTATCCGTGCTCCTTGAGTCACATAACCTCTCAAGAGATCACGTAACAACCACAAATTTAAGGGTGCATAATGATGTCATTAAAATCACTAGAAAGAGTGCATAGCTCTTGTGGGGCAAAGCACTCTAAAAGACTGACAAAGCTTTAACTGTGGAGGGAGGTCGATTCCGAGAACAAAACTATTAATTTAATCCTCTATTCTGCTTTCCCCTTGCCGTACGGTGGTCACATGGAAATCGCTCAGACAGAGCATACATGTACAACATCTGTGACTCCCCACTCTCTCTGAACAGTTGTCATGGTTGCTGCTGCACTGTTAACATTTAACTTCCACCATCATCGCCTAGTTACTTGTTAACGCCTGGAGAATGTCACGCCATGTGGCTGTTTCTCCTGTTCACCTTGCTCTACCAATCACGAGCTGTTTCCTGGTTGCCAAGGGTAACGCTGTGGTATTTGCTTCTCCGTTTATTGTCCAAAATTGAATCATCAATAAAAGGGGATAAAAGTGAAGCCACCCTGTCTCCGTCGCTGCTTCACCAGGCCAAAAAGAATTGCCTCACAGCTCCCACAGTCACCTGAGTAAAAAGGTAAGATTTTGCAGACTATAAATTTACTTTTACTTCACGAACAAAAGAAGGAGAGCGAGCATTATTTCTTTCTGAACGCGGGTGCCATTTCTGCCGACGAGCTGTGCCACTCTGTTCAGGGAATCTGCGATCGAATGTAAAATATGTTGTCAAAGAGAGTTATCAAACCAGTTCATGAGTTCCTAATGTTCATTTCTTGAAACGTACATAGTTCCATAACACGAAAAAAACGGGGATAGAAGGCTCCGTTTTCATCATTTGAATTACTGCTCCCAACCACTGTTACTCTCAAGTACCTCTTTTCATTTACATCCTCCCAACAACAGTCAAATCTACTTCAAAATGCCTGCTAACTTCAGTGGAACATGGAAGAGCTTCAAGTCCGAGAACTGGGCAAACCTGCTGGATAAGATGGGAGTGCCAAAGGAGAAGTTGCCGGCAGACCTACAGGTGACGCACACCATCTCTCAGAGCGGCAACACCATCAACATGAAGACCACCAACAACCACAACAGCGACGTCAAGAACGTCACCATCAACGTGGGCAGCAACCACAAAGAGGACGTAATGGGCCACCAGATCGAGCAGACCACAGCCTGGCAAGGTAACAAGCTGGTCATGCGTGCCGTCAACGGCTCCGGCGGAGTCATCTACGAGATCGTCGGCGATCAGATGGTGGTCACCATTGAGCACCAGGGCGTGGTTGCCAAGTCCTACTTCAGCAAGTAGACGAACGAAGCTATTCTAGTATAATCTCTCCATAGTTTGATAGATTCTTTAGGAAGATAGTATAGGTATGACCCCAGTTCCCCTCGTAAAACATATGGAGAGATGTTCGTGTTTACTGAAGCGTGATCAATCTTGGGAATATTGTACGGAAAGATAAAAATCTATTGAGAAGGTGTATATTTTGTATGTTTTATTTTAGTATTGGTATTATAAAACTGCCAAACAAGATGAAAAACTCTGAAATAAATTGTGCTCTGGAATGAGAGTTGGTTCCATTAACAAAGAAACATTTGGTGAGCTAGCTTTGGGGAAATGGTGCGAAAGGAACCTCACCCATCAGCAAATAAATGCACCCAAAAACGACAGGTTTTTTTTCGGTATCTCTCGGCAGTATACTTGCTGCGTCTGAAACAGGAGAAGATGTCTCAGATAGAGGGCGCCCCATTTTAGTCGAAAAGCCGTTTAAGTTCTATTTGATTTTCAGTTAGTGCTTGTGTGGACTGACACGAAAATCGCAGCGTTAATTTTTTGTTGTTGTTGTTGTTTTCTTTTTTGTTTTGTTTTGTTCAGTTTGAAGCCTGTGACTTATGTCCTTCAATATTTCGGAGACATCTGTTCTCGGGGTGCTTTGAGGAAAATGACACTCCAAAAGAATTTGGAGGTTCAAAGTGCAAAGACCATAGTCTTTAACTTGTCATTTGGGGGAATTTAATTATATTATATTAAAGTATATTAAAAAATATTATAGAGTATATTAAAGCAGTAGACAAAATAGAATTGTGGCACGGTAAGTTTTCTTGTTATTTACTCAAAGTCTTGTGTATTCTGCCTCAGTTCACCCATAACATATTCATAATGCATGACCTTTTTTACAAAATGTAAGAAAATGAACAGTAACCGTGATGTGACTGAATGCTGAAGGTCGCTAAGGTAACTGTGTGAACGGACTCTAACCTCGTCACAAATTATCAGCAACAATGACGACGTTGAGCTTGAGTTGAGGGGGGTGACGAGTGGAGAGTTGTAATGTCACTCGTTTCATGGACGTGTATCCTGCACGGCTAGGGATGGGTATATAAAAATTATCCCCTCCACTTGGGGGGTGGGCTATTGAATCATTCCCCCCCCCCTTTTTTGTAGTGAGAAGAAATCAAAGCGGATGGTGAAGAATTTTTCAGACTTCCATAGAAATAGGTTACCAGTGACTCCGTCATTGCCAGTGTCTCGAACCTGTGGGAAAAAGTTAACCCGGAGTTCGCGAGGAGAGTCCAGTAGCATAGCTCACCCTGGGTCTGTGTTACCTGGGAGGGCTGGGATTTGTCGCGTTGCTGTTTCGGGCGCTGCCGTGTGATGCAGTAAGCATTACATGATTATGGAAAGGAACAAATAATGACCATTATAGGCAAGGTGTGGTAATATGTCCTGTCAGGAGCATCCCCCCCAAAAAAAGTATATTGAAATACGCAGTTATTTAATATTTAGTGATACAGGAGCTATGGGTAATGATCACCCATCGGTACAGGATTATTTTCAGTGGAAGGGTCCATAGTCAATTTGCACGAATGGGATTGCTGCTCCCAAGTATGAACAACAAGAGGCAAGTTGGCCATTGAAAATGGGATGAGGTAGGCGTATCGTGAACGGTGCAGCATAGAATTTCAGCACACATCTCTCTTAAATGAAGTTTTCTATTCGGTTTGAAGGGCTATATGGCTACATGATGAGTACGCAATTCTGTCCGACCTCTTTTCACTTTCTGATTGGGTTTCAGATGAAACATTGCAACGGTGAACCATGAAAAATTAAATGAAAAAGGATGTGAGTAACTCTCCTTTTTTCAGTTGAGGTGGTGTACCGTTGCGGTTGTTATTACCTGCGCGCGTGCAGCATTTTTAAAGAGCAGGATGTACGCCCTCCCTATCCCGTTCGTAAAGTGACTTCGTCACAAAGGCGGACGCGCCACGACTTGCAGGCTCCCATTGGACGATCGCAGAAGTTGTGCGTTAACTTTGGGTTCCATGCCTCCATGCAATTGGCGATCAATGCATTTAACCCCCATCAGCGCCGAGCACGAATGAAAGAGGGCGTGTTTTGAAATTTTAGTACTCACGCACCGCATAGTTTCGCAAATTTATGGCACGTTGACGCGAAGCACGCTGAGTACGCGCAACGATTTTGAATTATACGTCCACGCCGAACGCGTGTTAGAACCCAGTTGGAAAACTTACTACCACCTGTTTTTCTTTCGCCGGTGAGGGTGCACTTCGGCTCAGGGCGGATAACGTTTCAATCAAGGATCGTATAGCGCCGCGAAGCGGCGCCTTCGGCGCTATACAATCTTTGGTTTCAATAACTCAGTATTTACACAGCAACATTCTGTGCAGTAAGTTGAATGACTTTGTTATCTCTTAGTCAATATGAACAGCAAAAGCAGTATCTCTGAGATGGCCGAGTGGTTAAGCTCGCGGTTATCAGATCGTTAGACGGTAGGTTCGAATCCCAGATGTGACTTTTTTATTTTCCCAACGCTTGCTTTCAGAAGCTATAAGAGACTCCAATTGA